ATCATGTTATGAAAAAAAAAAAAAGAAAGTAATTCAAATCTGAGACAACTGCAATGCAACAATTCTGCTCTTGGAAATAATTTCTAGCAATGAATTGATGTTCATTTACAGGGATGGGACTAGGGTCCAAAACAGAACTAGCAGACAAAACAGCTTGCTCAGTGGGGTTAAGCCCTTGTCCAAAGTGGAGAGAGGAGAGGGGACGGTGTGGCAACATGAGGTCTGAGCAGACCCTTGGTAAGGCAGTCTTTGGAGCAGCCTGGAACATAAATCATTGTGTGGCTAAAGCCACTTCAGCTATAAAAGTTGCCACCAAACTGACATATGATTGATAGCTGATAGCACCTTTTATCTTACACTGCCTGAATCATCTTCATTACAATTAGCACACCACGAGTAGCTTGTAAATTAGGGGTGCAATTTTTCTTAACATCCCAACAGTCAAGAAAGAGAAGAATGAAGCTCCCCAAATTAACCCCAGTCTCCTGGAGGTGTGTCCCCTTCTCATGGAGTGTGCACCTACAATCATGAGTCAGCTACCCCTTTTTGGTGTCCAAACTTAAGTAAAAGAAAATTGGTTTGGAGGCCATTCTCCAAACATTCAGAAGGCAGCAGTGGTGGAGCAGGGTCTGTGTCACACAGGGATGAGTCTGTGCAAGAAAGGGCACCAAGGCATGAGGAGCCTTGTATGGCTGGAAATGGAAATGAGGAGCTGTGTCTGCAGCAAGGCTATGCCTTCTGACAACGTTTGCCAGTAGATCTCCTCTCTGGTGCTCTTTTCAAAGATCATACAGTCCTCCTCAGCCTTGTATCCAAGTGTCTTCCAGAGGACACTGATGTGTCCACCACAGTCTGCCACAGCAGGCTCTCAGTTTCATCCATAACCACAAAGGAAGTTTATTTCAACTGCCCAGCAATGACCATTGCAATGATAGATAAAGTGGTGCCTGTTCTCCTTAGAGAGAGAGAGATGGAGCCAGTGCCTAGGTCCAGCACTATGGATCAGAGAGAATCTTCAGAGGGCAATCCAGTGTCCCCAGATATTGTACAGCTAATAAATCACAGGGTGTGCATCAGTCCTGCTGCACCTTCCTCCCTCTTTGTTCACCTCCTACTGTCAGGAATGTTGATGCATTTCCTGTATAACCATCCAACTCTTTCAGACCAGAAAATTGACTGCTCTTCCCTTTGAGGATGTGGAGAACTGCTGCCAAGTAAAAGTAGAGAAGTGTCTGGTGCTGCAGTGAAGTATGAAGACAAGGATAGATTACCTCTCCTTACTGAGAAAACTGGGACATCACATTCCTTTTTAAATCTCAAGAGCTTTGTGATACCCTTCTTGATTTCCATAATATTTCAAAATGTTTGGGGGGGGGTGTTGGGGATCGCTTGGAATGGATCCATTTTTGTACTCTTCCTTAGGTGAGTGTCACTGCATCAGAAACAGGATCTCTGGCTGCACAGGTCTGTCAGCTCTCATCTCCTTCACATGCTCACATTTATTTCTGTGCCAATATTTTCCACTTGATGAAAGAGCTTCTTGGAATTTTACTCTAATATATTCACAGGCAACAAACATATCTATTCTCTGTCTTTGATTTGCAAGACTAAACAAGCTGGCAGCTTTCTCTGTCCATTCATAGAAAAGGTCTCCTTTCCCGTAAGCATCCCACACTGTGAGAACTCTGCCTGGAGAAGCCAAGGAATTCCTATGATGTGCATAGAAAATTACCAGGCACAAAACATTTCTGAAAAATACTGTGGTTTAAGGCATTCTATAATCAGCATTTTCTACTTTTCCTTCTTAACACATTGAGGTTACCTATTAACCTATTATTATAGATGTCCTAAAAATAAATTCAAATTCTTAAAATGAAATGTCAAGAAATAGAAAATACATAAAATAATTGTAACATTTTTTAAAATCTAAGCATTTTCAGTAAAAGAATTTTGATGAAACACACAACCTTACGTTACAAGTCAAAACAGCATTAGTAGTTTCAATGATGTTTTAAATTAAGCTGATTTATACATGTGTTATTTAATATCTCTAAGCAATATTTGCCTCATTTCATATAGACTTCAGGTTGCTTTTGGCAGTTTATATATAGTAGCTAACTCCTTAACACATTTGTGCATGTGATTAATTTATTTTTAGTTGTTTATGGCAAGTTAATATGTTTCTATAAGTAGCAATGATGGTAAGATTCTCCCAAAGCACGGCAGTTACAGATGCAAGCATTATAGAGACTAAATAGTGTGTATCATCTCATAAATTTGTCCTTGAGATAATACAAAATGAGGCACAGTCAGTTAAGATATTAATCCTGTATGTTTAAAGTCCCTGACAATGAAACTATTTTATGAAATAGCTTTTAAGGCAGTTATAAGAGCGGTTCTGTCTCCATTAACACCCACACACACATTAAGCAAGCCTCCATTTCACTTTGATAATTTTAGAACTGGATGGCTTTGTTATGAAGCTGAGAAAGCAACAAACTCTGTGTTTCTTTTGTGCTGCCTGCAAAACGGGGGAGATGATCTCCAAAAGCGGGTGTCCCTTATACAAAAGCGAGCCACGGACAGCGGGGCTTGCACCCAGCTGATGCCTCTGTGCCTCCTGAGAAGCTGCTGCAATTTGGTCACGGGGACCATCACTGCTGGGACCCTGTGCTAACCTTCTGCAAACGTTTGATGTCACAAAAATGGTCTGCTCATGACAGAGGTGTGACTGGGCACAAAACTGCACGTCAGAAGCTGCATCGCAGTGTCCATTCCAGTTCGCCCTGGAGGGTGGATGTATGTAGTACACACAGCTATAGATCTATCTATGCACAGTCACATCTGCTTCAGCATGGAGCTCCCGTGAGATGCTTAAACCCAAAGTGATGGTCTGAAGAGGTAGGGAAAGGCTGTGGGGAAAAGCAGACCTGAGGCAGACCTCGGCAGGATGTGGCTGCAGCAGGTGCTGCGAGTGCTTTGCCTCTTTTCTCTGCTTTGCCTACTCTTGCCAAGCTGCTGTGCTGCCACCACGGATCCCCCGGGTTATGGCTCCAGAGCTGGGACGCTGCAAGGTGAGCACCTAATTCCCAGTGGAGCTCTAGCAGGAACTGGATCTTCAGACTTATCTCCCTCTCTCCTCTCCCCCCTCCCTCTCTCCTCTCCCCTTCTCCTTTGCTCTTACAGCTCATTAACTCACTGATTTCAAGCTTGGTCCCAGCAGATTCTCACAGAGGCAGTACTCACAGAGCAGTAGCTGAGCTGCACAGACAATTTGTGTGTTATTATCGAAAAGGAATTGCTGCTGATCCATTGACAGGAGGGCAAACTAAGAGACAACAAGTTCTCCCCTCCTTTCTCTTCCCTCCCTCCCCTGCCCTTCTTTTGGGCAGTAAGAGGGAAATAGCTTGTGCTACTCAACGAGGATAAGGCACCAATATGAGTAATGAAAATATGCACAGTTCTATGATATGAGATGAAAAGCTTAGGCACAGAAGCACTCAGGCTTAAGGGAAAAGCCTGGCTTGTAGCTCGTGGGCATTCAGAAGAGATCCCCAGCGGCTTCAGCTGATGCTCTCTGGTTTCATTTGTTTGCAGATGGAGCAAGTGTTGCTGTGGCAGGAGGTAGACTGGTGGTGCCAGAGCAGCGTGGCTGTGAGGACGTGGCCCACGGGGGTGTGTGCCCCGCGCACTGCTGTGAGAGCCCCAGGCACCTCTCTGCTCCTTTCATGGCTGTGACAAGGAGGGCTACCTGGAGAAGCTATCATGCATCTATGCCTGTGTCCATCTCAGAGTTTGTAGTGACAAAAACAGCAGGACAACCTCTTCAGAGAAATACCACCCAACAATGCTAGAGTTGCTGGGTACACAGAGCAACTGTGGGATTTTTTCAGTTAATGATTCAGGTGCTCCTGAGGTCCCATGTTGACCCCAGTCTGATGTTTCCCCACGTCAAAATGAGATCCCTGTCAGGAGAAACTCCAACATAACCACAGCACTGAGGAGGAATCACTTCTCTAGAGCTTTAGCTGTCACAAAAGCTGTCCCAAGGCAAAGCAGAAGAGCTACTGGTTACCACTGGTCCTGCTGGGTTTTGTGTTGGTGTCAGCCAAATCTCTTCAGGATGGCACAAGAGGGATGGGTGCAGAGGGGAGTAACTTTGCTCCACCAGAGGCTGGAAGGAGAGCACAGAATAGCAGGGTGGGAATCAGGCGTGGAAATAAATTAGCAAATAAATTAGCATCCTGTCCCCAGTGGGAAAAGTGTTCCCATACTGCTTACAAAGCCAGCAGAGCAAATGAGTATTTCTGGGCCACTGCCCCGTGCAGGGAGGGGTGGAGGACAGCCAGCTCAGAAGGAAACCCTGCAGCACCAGCGGCTGCTTCTGAGCAGAGGAAGTCCCTATCATGGTGGCTCTTGCTCTGCCCTCTTGGGCATAACTATTTAGACTATTCATTTCCTAATGTTTGCTTTAGAGTAACAGATAGATGCACCACATGATATTTACTTGTGTTTTGCCTTGGTGCCAAGTACTATTACCCTGTATTCTGTGTGTTGAAATGGAACAGGGACACCACCTGCTTGCTGAAGTTCATTCTCCCAGTGCACATGACAGAAAAAAAAGAATTTTTTGTCTTACAGGAGGATGAACAAAACCTCACCCAAGTAGGGTTACACTTCAGCAACTCTTAAGCACATCCGCTTTGCAGCAGCATGTGCCTAAATGATTTGCTAAATCAGGACCTTCAAATGGAGCCAAAGCCATTTCAGGAAAAAGGTCCCAGTGCCAGCAATTAAACAGGGACTAGCCAGGTCCAAATTTTTTTGTGTTAATTATAGGAAGGCATTTTATCTGCTAGCGCATTCTTTCAATTCACACATATAACTCTTCCACAAGTAACCCAGGAGGTCAAAAAAATATTTTACAAAGCTGCCAAGGTGCAAAGACACAATAAGAGGAAAAATTTCTTTTTTCCATTAAATGGCAAAACCAGAAAAAAGGGTGCCACTTCTCTGGAAATTACATTTGCTCTCCTGCTCCTCTGAGGCTCTTCTAGGAAACAGGACTGGGTTCCTTCGGTTCTCTTTGAAGAGGACAATGTCACTGAATTTCAAGCCATTCATTTGCAGAGACCAAAGACAAATATTTTCCTGAACTTTGACTACCTCAATCAGGGAAAAAAAAAGTTTATAAACAGACACTGATGTTATTGATGACATACTTGGCTGAAATCACAAAGGCTTATCAGTATTCAGGGGTTTCTGAAGTAGGGTTTGTAAATGTCTAATATGTGTGTAAGTGAGCTATTTCCTGTAAATCAATGTACCTTACTTTAGACTTCAGCTTAATAGCAAACATACCCTCCAAAACAAATGGCACAATCATTGCTTTATCTCTTCATGAACGCTGCCCTATACCATTCTGCTCTTTTGTCTTTTTCTTCCAGCAGAAAATCCGTATTCGTCATAAGCTTCAATTAAGGTAAATGAGCGCTATAAATCTGGAATCCCTGAATGTATGATCAGCAAACAAAGGCTGGTTTCTTGGATGTTTTTATTAAGAGGATGTACCTTAATGAATAGATAGCAACAAATGCTAGAGATGACTGCAGCATGGCAAAGTGGGGACTTGCTTTATATGGTTTTAAGAGTGCTTATTCTGATAATTTAGGAGACCAGAAGAATAACATGGAGCAAACACACTAGTTCAGAGATGAGGGAAAGAAAACAACCCCATTTCTTCTTGTCCTTCAGAAGGCAGGTGGGTAGAGGTTTCTGTACTCTGGATTTCTGTTATTAGCAACATTTTCATGGCCAGTCCCCCCTGCCAAATGATGTAAACAGAAAATATCCTGAACTTGTTAAGCCCAGCCAGTTTATCAGACCTTCATGTGCCTTTGTCTATTTTTCAGAGTTGCCATGTGGAAAGCACACTGTTGGCCAAGCAGCAGAAGCTGATTGAACTGGCTCTCATGACACTGGTGGGTCTGGTCCACAGCTCCATCTTGCCCTTTCTTTCCAAGCCAGAACCAGGATCTAATGCACATCATTTGTCCTATGAAGCTTCAGACATGAAGCTGGCAGAAGGCAGTTTGTCTGTCTCTTTCACAGCTCATAGGGTGCCCCACTGAATCACCATAGAGTGGGAGCCTCCAACGCCGTGAGCTTTCCCCGTTCTATGAACAGAGGTAAGCAAGCAGCCCAGCCTTGCTGTCCCAGGGGCACTGGCACGTCACTGGGTCCCTCAGGAGACTGACCCTTGGGCCCTGCTCACTGTCACATGCTCTGGGTGAGGCAGGTAAATATGTGATGTGCTCTTTGGACAAGGGCTGTTTGCCAACCTCTAGAAGAGATTGAGGCTCTTGTTTCACAACTGAAGGGGGGAAAGTGAAAACATTTGGGAATTGGCCCTGTCTGAGTACACACATCTCTCTTGCTAAATGGGATGTCTCAATTGCTAAGTCTTCAGCAGCATTTTCATCAGTAATATAGCGTTACACAGAAACATCTTACACAGAGCAAAAGACAAAAAACCTCACCCCAACAAGTAGTCAGGGCTTAAGATCACTTTGAGATTTATGAATTTGAAATTATCTTCTCAAATTCAAAATGGATGGCCAGAGAGAGGGAGGAGATAGCCTGGACCATCTCACACATCTGACACTAACCAGGCAGAGCAGAAACTAAACCAGGCCTCTCTGAGCAAATGCAGAACCTTCCTGCCAGCACTGCTCGCCTGTGTGGATTCTCTAATGTCCAAACAAGAATTAATTTATCAGCCATCACCTCCCTTCACAACAATTCTCATCAAAAGGGAAGAGTTAAAACACTGGATTCACACGTTATGGAGACAGCAGAGACACACATATGCCTGTAATTTTTCTAAGATTATGTATCAACCTTAGGAAACAAGAGTTATTTATCTGCTAGAGTAGAAGATGGTACAGCAGCTATTCCTGAAATTGGAAGTGCTCACTGAAAAACCTAGCAGTGTGTACTCCACTAGCTAAGAGGACTCTTGGCCATATATCTTCACCCATACAAACAGCAGAGGATTTGCCTGCTCCTCTCCCTGATGAGCACAGAAGCATGCACAGCTCCCCACTTGGTGATGTCACTGAGATCAAAGACAAAATCTCCCTGTTCTTGGGTGGAGCAGTGGGGTGCATAGTGAGCTCCTGTCCAGCCATGCCATGTAGGAGAAGGAGGTCATCAGCATGGTGAACAAATGGAGGTAAAATCCACACACACGTCCCTTGTCTAGGCCCTCCATGCATTTCATGCAGCATGGATGCAGGATAGCCACCTTCTGGAGAACGCTGTGTGTTTGTCCATGGCATGGTCACCATCATTGCAAAGCATCATAGTGCCCTGCTGTGCTGACCCTGCACTGGAGAGCTGGACACACACCATGCTTTAAATCTTCCACTCTTTTCACCAGACACCTGTTCTTGTGCCATTAACCCAATCAAAATTTGTCTCAGTGAACACCAGGGACATTTCCCTGGCAATGTGACTGGGACAAGAAATCCACTGGGCCATAAGGTGCCCAGAATCTGTGAAACCTTCTTTCATCACCATCACTCGGGAACTTGGGCCATGATTTTGCATGGGTCTACTGAAATCCGGAATTCACAGGGGACTGATTCAGTGTGCTGTGCAGGGACAGGGATGCAGATGGACCAAAACATCCTGGGCCACTTCTCTTCCTGCCACCTGGGCACTACTGGAGCCATCCTTGGGTCTGGGAAAGTCTAATGCTCTGTCAGGAAAGTGTGCTTGAAAGCCTGAAACTCTCCTTTGTGAAGGCTCCATGCATGGCTGAGGTCAGGCTTGAGGTATGCTGGGAGAATTAGGAATTCATTCCCTTGCTGCAAGCTCAGCGAGGGGGATTTTCTCCATAATATCTGAGTGCTGTTTTATAATAAGAAGCTAATTACTTTAAATGAAGTAAGGCTCAGTGCAACTAGAGAATTAAATGTAAAGTATAATCATGCCTTGTATCAACAGGACAGCAAGTAATTGGCTACTTTCCTGCAATTTTCACCTCAGCTCACCTCAGTATGCAGTCACTTCACTGCTCTGCCTCAAACTTCGTCTCTGTGCCAAGTTAATAAGGGTGCAATCTTTTCCATTAATTTTAAGAGGTTTTGGAGCAAGCCCTGCACATGTGGGAATTACAGCTGCATTGTGGCGGTGCTGCCTGCTGTCTCTGAAGCTCTCATTCACAGAGCTCATCACACACCAGTCCATAGGCAGGAAGCCAGAAATGCACTTGTTAGCTCCTTGTAGATACACCTGTGAGGTGATTACGGCGGCACAAATGGATTTTTGTGAACTGGTAGTCACTGAAAAAGCCAATGCTCTCCACGGATGCAGGCCACTGGGTCTGACCCAGTAAAGCAAACTAAGGGGAGATCAAACCATTCAACTCTGTCAGCTCATGGAAGCATTTAAACAGTGCTGTGTTTGGTGCCATTTAGTGAAATGAAGAAATTACTGTACTTCTAATAGTTACAGGAAACTGATACTTCCTTTTCTATTCATACTCCAGGGTACTTCGGGCTTCTCCAGGTTTGCTGTGTCTGTCTGCCTGAAAAATGTTGAACCTGCCTTGGCTGTTTCCTTGAGCAACGTGGCGACAACCAGCTGGGGAATACTTTCAGTTACTGATCTTGATGTCTATTTCTGGAGTAATTTACTGAATATATAATATTTCAATAATCACTGAAGCAGACCCTGGTCCCCAGCTGCCAGTTTACAAATCTTATGGATTTTCTGTCCTCATCTCTCAGTTAATGTTTAAATATTGATTAGTTATTCTTTATTGATAAATATTTAAGTGAGAGTGGTATGCTTCTGCGGGCTCTTACAAGAGAGATGGTTGAGGAGAATTAAAAAGAGAAGTTGATTTGAAGCCAAATGTAAATCACAGTGAAGATATGACCTGAGTCTCTTATCCCTTGGAAGAACAGCCTCAGAGCTCTAGAATTAAGGGACAAGACTATAGCATTGTAGGCAGCCAACACCTTTGAGAGTATTTGCTTGTTCATTTTTTAGGCAGTGGCTCTGGGACCCACCCAAGGCAATCAGATGCAAATTCCTAGATGGACAGAGGCCCTATCTGTAAATGAGAGCATCCTGCCATGCCTTACTGCAGCTGTTCCCTGACAAGAGGAAACAGCCTCAGGTTGTTCCAGAGGCATTTTAGATTGGATATTAGGGTTGTCAAGCATTGGCTCAGGCTGCCCAGGGAAGTGGTGGTGTGCTGATGTGACACTGAGGGACAAGGTTTAGTGGGTGGAGCTGAGTTAATGGACTGAACAATACTGAAGATCTTTTCCACCCTAAATTATTCTATGATGCAATGGCAGCACCAGTGGCTTTTCTGTTCTCTGCCTAGGCATAAAATTAGGAGGAGCTCCATTTCCTCTTTCCTCTAGCTGATTATGGAGCTTTCTTGGCCTTTCCTCTCCTTGCCACCATAAGCATTATCTTTTCTGCTGTGCTGGGATTTGTATTTATTTGGGTCTCTGTTTCAAAACACGGTAGCCCTGACTATAAGCATGTTACTTCATCTGTGTTTGTAAGCATGCTGAAAGGTGCACAGGATCATGTCTCTGGAGACAGCTGAGCATCTCATGGTCCTGTGGAACACAACACAGAGGAAAGAGGAAAAAGCAACACATCTCATGTATGGATTAGTAAATAATGCAGAGGTCTAAGGGGGAGACAGAAGAAAAATGGTTCTCGTGAGCAGATCTGGTCAGGATAAATAAGACTGCAATTAAATTGACTCTCTAACAGATATATTTTTTTGGTACTTGAGCACAAGTATCCAGGTATACTTTTCCTTTGAACTGTGCCTCAGCCATGTGCTTGGAGCTACCCTCACCTGCCCTCTGTCCCTCCAGTGTCTGGAAAGAGGGACAGTTTCAGCAGAGAAGAGCACAACCCTGCCCAAAAGGTAGTCAAGGTGGTTGCAGCCCTGCAGGAGAAGATGCTTTCAGCTCAGAGCAGTCAGGGAATAGAAGATATCTGACCATTCTTCAGCCTGTAAAATCAGTCCAAGGCCCCTTGCCAACTTCTCACCACCAAGATGTGGTAGAAATGGAGTTTCTTGATCCCAGCTTGGTTTTATCTGACTTGTTGTTTAACACACAAAACATGGTCAGATCTAGAGCTGCCCAGAGACAGAGAGCCAGCTGCTAAGTGGGATTTTACATTTTAAATTTATTCATGGGAGCAGATTAGCGGATTAGTCATATTTCTTTTCAAGTGCTGGTCCATAGTATCTCAGAGTCCCAGCTGTAAAAAGGATAGTTCCCAGCTTTTGGAACTGTTTGGGAAAGAATTAATTTCTTGTGAGGAGTGTGAAGTCAAAAGTGAAAACTGTGCTTTGGTGTATGAACACACATCTCAGTGAGTTTCTGGGACAGAGGTGTTAATAGGTGCCACGGATACAATAAAGCAGAGGACTTGTTCCCTGGTGGAGTGATATTTCTTTCTGTTTATTCATATTACACTTATTATAACACTATCAGCATGAAGAGGGTTATAATAATGAGGGCAGCAGAGATAAGATCATGTGCCTGCACAGGCTGCTGGTACCTTGCACACAGCTTGATCCTATTCAAAGGCTTAAACATACTTAAATCCTATCCAAATCCTTTATCATTTTAAGCCTCTTAAGGCTTTAATGCTTCAAAAATACACCCTGGATCACTCGGCCTGACAAACTGGAAAGAGAGGAAAGGCTGGGACTTTTGATGGCACCTGGGGTTTGTGCCTTCAACACCTAGTTCAGGGTCCTCAGAAAATCCTCGGTGGCCAGGCAGGATCCCCCTGGGACCAGGGGCAGGAGGAGGCTCCCTGAGCCCTGGGGAGTCTCTTGGGAGTGGGGTGGCACTGGGCATCATGGGCATAGGAACACATTCCTTTCTGGGAGATGTGAGATGGAGCTGGGTTCATGGTGCTGTAACTGAAAGCCTCTGCATAGCAGTGGGCTGTTTGAAAAGGTGAGCGTCCCCCTGGTGCTGACAGCCCTTATCCTGGAACAGGCACAGTGCCAGAGATCCATGCCACCAGCGTTTTAGGGTAGTGATTGTGGGAGGGTAGGGTTTATTTTCCAGTCTGTGTGCTCACCCTGCTCAGCATGACAGAGACCCAGCGCTGGCCAGAGCCTGTAGCTTTGACTGGAACATGAAGAAGAAAAAATGACAGCAACACTGCCAGTCTTTGGAGCTGGAATTTGTTCTGTAGGGAAATCTCTTTTTACCTCTAAAGTTTAGGTATTGTGAGTTGAAGGAAGACATTATTATCCACCATAGTTCTTTTTCCAAAGACAAAATAAGAGGTTAGTAGGTTTGACATTAAAGGATGCTTTTAAAGTGTTCTTTTGCAGTATATTTTGTTGTATATATCCACCAAGTGTGGGAATAAAATGTCATACTTAGGGATTTACTCATCACGCAGCTTCTCTTGTTTCAATGAAAATAATTGATCCCAGACATGTACATGCAATAGTGCTTTGCAAGGAACCACATACTGTACCAAATTCTGCATACTGTACTCAGATTAGAACTTTGTGTCAACCCATGTGAATTATTTGCAAGGCAAAATACAGAGGAATTCTCTCCAGGGTAACACTGAGGTTACAGCAGTTCATTTAGCAAAGACAAATCAGCTTCTGGGCTGGAAAAAAAAAAAAGAGCTGTATGATCTTCTTGTGGGGCTGTTCTGGTTCAAATATGAGTGTGCCAGCAGCAAATGCTAACAGGAAGAGTAAGACACATCTCAGAGATGAGCAGCGGTGACCATTTTGCAGCACTGCAGATGGCGCACAGGGGACGAGCTCCTGCTGTGGCTGAGCAGGGCCAGGGCACACGAGTGATGCTGGACTCCAGCACTGCAGCACTGGGGGTGCAGGCTGGGCTCCCTCTCTCCTCTCCCCATCACCTCCCCATCCCAGCTTCCAAGCAGTTGTAGCCCCAAGTAACAGAGTGACAGGGCTGCTGGGATGACAGGGCAATGGTGCCCACACAGCCTTCCTGCTGCTGATGACAGACATGCATCAGGACAGAGCATGGTTTTGTGCTATCCCCTACCCCTGCCCACTCTCATGACAGCACAGCCTCTTCAGTCTGCAAGTTCAGGCTGCCTGATTCACCACTAAACTTGTACCATCCTGCAAAACCTTCTTATGTTGTCAAGCCAGACCTCACAGAAATTGCTCTGTGGGCTAATGTTCATAGCTGCCATGTACATCAGTGATAGCAAGCATGTGCCAGCCCAAACTAGGCACCTGCCAGATGCATCTGGACATAAACTTCTATCAGCTAATGTGATTTTTAAACACCAGGACACCTCAGGTCACATATGAACCTCATACAGCACAGCCTCATCTGAGAAGCCTCTTTAGTGCCCTGAAATGCTGACTTCATACAGTTCAGATTCCCAAAGGTATTTGGGCAGTATATGGGGAAAATCCTGCATGCCTGCCTCCTTAACCTTGTATCACATTCCTCCTCATGGTAAAGATGCAGTGCTATGCTCAGTTTCTGCTTTCCATCCTGTTGGGAATTTGTCTCTTTTCAGAGAAGCCCATGGACTCGTCTATTGCCTTGATTCCCTATGATGGAAGGGCAAAAAATGCAGAAGTGTCTGCAACACCTTTCAGGGCCAGAGGATGCCTCCATAGGCAGTGAGTGTCAGAGTTACAAGCTTATTGTCTGTCAGCAACAAACCATGGGAGCTATAAGGTCCACAGCACTGCACATCCAGGTTTGATGTGTTCCAGCAACAACCATGACCAATTATTAGTATCAAATCTGCAGAAATTTAAATTTTTCTGAATTACTTAACATTTACATAATCTTTCTGATGACATGTACAGCCCAAATAGATATGGCGGGGAGGGGTTTGTTTGTTTGCTTGCTTAAACTTTAATTTGCTGTTGTTGTCCTTGCTAGGATTTTTGTTTGGGTTTGGTGGGTTTTTTTTTGGTTGGTTGGTTGGTTTGGGTGGGGTTTTGGGTTTTTTTTTGTTTGTTTGTTTGTTATGTTCATGCACTTGTTTTGTCTGCATTTCCATCCCTGCTTTCCTTTATTCCAATAGTAGGAGACAGTTCACCCTTGCAATATTTCTGATGTGACTTACACCCAAAGGAGCTGGCTCCATATGATGGAGAATTCCAGCCTTCATAGGCAATTCAGCAACTGAACTACACATTCAAATACAGGTTTCATATTACTTCCCCTTATTAATCAACTGCCCAAGAAATCCCAGCATTCAAAGATGAGCAGCCAAATTCTTTACAGGTTGTCCTAGGGAAAGAGAGAAGTCTTTCATGAGGGGATACTGCATAGCCCTGTGCATGGAGTCTGCTGAGGAGACCAGCATCACAAACCCAAAGATAGGCCTGTCATGCCAGCTTGTCCATTTCCAGAAGAATTGGTACCATCCTCTGTACCAAGTGTGTTGACACCTAATAATCTGACCTTTTTTAGTAGTCTGACAATTAGAGAAATCTGCCTGTGTCCATCTTCTGAGCTTGGTTCTGAGGATCAAGGTATGTCTGTTTGTATCTTTGTAAGACTTTAAAACTTGTGGGTTTTTTGCATCTGTGTGTGTGTGGATGTGTGCACCTTTTCCTTTTATTTCTTTCACTCTCTTTGACCATATGTATGAACTCCTGGAGCCATAGGAAAAGAAAATCCTTGCATCACCTACAGATGTGAAAATCACCTTCATAAATGTCATGTATAAACAAACAAAATAATGGCACCCTCTTTCAAACTAGATTTTTCCATCGCAGCTGTGTGCTGAAGGAGGTCTGGGTGGGAGGGGTGGACATGTCACTTTCTACCTCTGGTCTAAACTCCTGCTGTGACGTGTGAAAGAAACCAAGGAAGGGGAAAACCTCCAGCTGTTTTGCTGTATTTAGACATCCTCTTTCTTTCTCAAGCTGGTTGAAGCATCTGCACGTAGAGCTACTGCCACTTGAGCAATCTGTCTCTGGGACAGCCCCAGGGGTGTTTGTGACCTGTGTGTGCTGGGGCTGTGTGACCAGGGTTTGCACAACCTGGGCCAGACAGGTGCAGAGCAGGGTGAAGCAGATGTTGTGAAAGTCAGCTGGATGGCAGTAGACTGAAGGCAAGTGAGACCCTCATTTCTCATCCCTTACCTCTCCTGGACACAACCCAGCTCCCAG